TCTTGGGTTTTTTTTCGTCTTGAAGGTGTCCTCAAAGCATCTAAAGGGAGGAAAAGAATGCAAGCTTGACATTTTAGTGATGGAGAATCTTCTGTTTCGGCATAATGTGACACGACTTTATGATCTAAAAGGGTCTTCTCGATCGCGCTATAATTCAGACACGAGTGGAAAAAATAAAGTTCTTTTGGATCAGAATCTGATTGAATCTATGCCAACCTCTCCAATATTTTTGGGCAGCAAGGCGAAGCGGTTGTTAGAAAGAGCTGTTTGGAATGATACATCATTTTTAGCTGTAAGTTTAATTTATCTTTTTTGGGTCATCACATTTGATTTTCAGGTTTTAATGTTCTCAACTGAGGTTTCTTAATTCAATTTAAGTCACTTCAAACATCATTAGCGTTTCCGTATACATGAATGAGCATCTCTATTTTAAGTCTAGCATGATCTCTTGTTGGAAGAGGGTTATTTTTCTATATATATATACACAACGCTAGTACTATAGGTTACTGATAGGAATGTTTGGGTAGAATTAGGATTAGGCTTTACACAAATTCAAAATTCTTGAAAGATTTTATGAACTTTTTAAAATCACAAGCCGAACACACTTACCAAGCATCCATCCATTTTCGTGTGAAATTGTATGGCTGACATATATTATCTCAAATTGCTGTTGCAGTCAATTGATGTCATGGACTACTCACTATTAGTTGGCTTAGATGAGGAAAAGCAAGAGCTGGTTGTGGGGATTATTGATTTTATGAGGCAATATACTTGGGATAAACATCTTGAAACTTGGGTGAAGAACTCTGGCATTCTAGGTGGGCCCAAGAACGCTGCTCCTACTGTGATCTCACCTCATCAATACAAGAAACGTTTCAGAAAAGCTATGACTACATATTTTCTTATGGTTCCCGATCAATGGCCTTCCTCAACAGTCAGCCCTAGTGAGTCCCACCCCGATCTCTGTGAGGAAAACTCAGAACCTGAGCATTCATGGGATGGGTAAGTTCGCAACTATTTTTGATATAGGTGAATACAATTGGTGCACTAACTTTTTTGGACAACTTTTTTGATCAATGATTTGAACCACTACTGGTTCTTTTAAAATGGCAAAAAGATTTTCTCAATATTGTTATTTTTAGTGCTCAAGCATTTTTGTTATGCTCAAAAGCACAAGTTTCAATTATCATTTTAGTAGCCTACTTTAACATTTTGTTTGTTTGTTTGTTTGTTTTCAGCAAACGTTATAGGTATCAGAGTGATTGATGAGAAGGTAAAACAGGGTGTCATTTTGTGTAGAATTACTCGCTTGGGGTAAACATGTTGCGTAGAACATAGCCCCAATGAGCCTAGACATGGAAGTAAGTACCCATCTTTGACATCAAATAGCAACTTCAGTTGGAATTTTGAGCCCATGCTTCGGCCTTGACTAAACAGCATGGGTAGTTTTCACTTTATGGACGCGCTTCTCCCTCGTCGAGTTCCCTCTCCCCTTCTGTAAAGCCGAAACTGCAGTAGAAGGCAAAAATGGCTTTACTTGGAGAGGAAGGATAGCTCTTATTATGACACAGACAATCTTTGTCGTAGAAGCATGAACCATGGCTTAACTTGAGGTCTTGCAAAGATTACGATGAATCGTGCAACCGTTTGAGTCGATCACATGGTATATCAGAAGGCATTGCTCTTGTGAATAGTAGTAAGAAAAAGCATAGTAAGTTATTCTTTGTTCTTTCTTTTTCTTTGCCCTTGAGAAGAAGATGAGTGTCTTTACGTTACCTCATCTTCTTACTTTTGGAGACTCATTGATGATAACTTTGGTAGATGGCATTTTGTAGATGACGGTAGCATTGTCGATTATACAGAGAGCATATCTACATATAATGTATAAATGACTTTCGATGATTCATTTTAACCAAAACTAATAAGCTCTAGTAAGATTATTTCCGATTCCTTATCATTTGAGACATTTTATGATTTTATATGTTTGTAGAAGGGGTATTCTTTTAAGTGATTGTCGTGCTTATGTTCTTATATATATCTCATCTAGATTTTTTTTTTTTTTATCAATATTTTTTTTCCATCTTAGATATCTCATTCACTTTTGAACAAAATTTGTATATTTGTAATTTCTCGGTATAACTCCTATTTTGGAGTATGATGCTAATGAATATTTCATTTTAAAACATTTATTATACAATTTTTTTAAGTTGAAGAATTAAAATAGATTATTTTTTAGAAATAAAATCAAGGCTTAAAATTTTTTAAAAAATTAACCAAAAGGTACATGTGATGAATGACTCATATGTTTAACATATCGAACATGTTGAAAGTCAAAATTGGAAGTGTAATAGAGACTTCTATGTAATATTCAAGACTTTTATCTATACCATATTACGATATTTTAAAAAGGATTGGTCTCATGTATGTATGTGCATTACATGACTCTAATAATGAACTGAATATGTCTTATAATACTCAAACCAATGATGACCATGCTACTCTTATATTTCAGATAAAGATAAAGAATTCATGCACGAGTGACGACCATGCTAGAATGACTATGAAAACTAAGTTAGTATAGTAAATGCATTGTTCTTCCTTGACCCATTTTTGTTTTTTTTGCTACATAATATTTCTTAAGTTTTATTTTTGTAATGTTGTGTTCATCCACTCAAATTCGTAATGGTAATGAGTATGAGCGGAGTCTAGTACTTGAAAGAGGAGGTGTCTATTTTTTTTTTTTTTTAAGACGGTTATTGTAACTATATGAAAAAAAAATCAAATTCAAACCGGATCGAAAATCACAAAATTTAGAATTTAGGGTTTAGAGTTTTAGGGTTTGGGATAAGAAATTATTTTCTTAAATTCCACCCCATGCATCCCTCTCAACACACTCTCCATTTGAATTGAAATGTAATTTATTTTAGGCTTTATAAGTCTCGTAAGGTTAAGGTATATTCGATAAGATTAGTTGGGACTAATTCATTATTATATATTATTAGAATTGCCCATTCATAAAATTAGGGTATTTTCTTGTTGGGTTATTGCATATATAGCAATTTTGATCCAAAATAACTAGTGAAATTAGCTCAAAGAAAAAATTTTAAAAATCTATCAACATATGGTATGTTTAGCATCACTTGTGTCACTTGCATTCACCTACTCCAAAACTAAGCGTGTTTGATTTGGAGAAATCTTAGGTCGGGCGGTCTCTCGAGAATTGATCGTCGAGTGTCGAATCCAATTTTTGAGTCTTGGGCTCGAGGGGTTACATGGTTAACGACATCTATAATTGATCGTCTTGGGCTCGAGAAAGTGTTCTTGCTGAAATATTAATCAACAGAGTAGTGGAGTTTTGGGCATTCTAATTTTGTGTAGTTTTCAATTTTTTTTTGTTGCTTTGTTTTTATTTAGTTTCACTTAATAACTTTTTTAAAGATTATAAATTGATAAATAGAGGGTTGGATGAATGCAAATTTAGATATCAAAGGCATAAGAGTGAGTATCAACATCAAGTATGAAGTTGGGCGCTGCGTTTTGTTCTTCAGCCATTCTTCTGTTCATTCTGCATGCAACAATCTGTGCTTGGGGTTACGATCCAAGTCCTCTTCAAGACTTTTGTGTAGCCATTGATGATCCCAATCACTATAACTCTGCTGGTAATCTCTTAATTTTCACCATTTTCTTTTCTCGTTATCGTTCTCGTATATATCTTTTGTTAGAGATGTCGAAATGGTGGTAAAGAAACCGGGAAGCCTTCTCCGTTTTCTATTTTATTTTTCGTCTCCATGAAATTCTCTATTTATTTTTGTAGAGATTAGGACGTGAATTCTTCGGAGAATTCGAAGGAATTGGGTTCTCTCGAGGATTTTTTTTCCTCAATGGAGTTCGACACATGCAATAAAGATTTAATCGAATCTATCTAATTTTGTAGATGAAGAATGAAGGCTTCTTTTATTTTTTTAGTCTTTGATCGTGTAGTAAGTTCAATTAAAACATTTTGAAGACCATGGTCCTTATCATGTTCCTTCGTTCATGCCTCATTTAAATAGGTTGACAACATTATAAAATTGTGAGGTTAACAACGATATCTAACAGGCAAAAATAGACAATATTTACTAGTGGTGAACTTGAGCTATTACAAATGATATTAGAGCTAGACACCAGGGGGTGTGCTAGTAAAGACGCTGGATTTTCAAGGGGGTAGTTTGTGAGATCCCACTTGGTTAGAAAGGGGAATAAAACATTCCTTATAAGAGTGAAAACTTCTCCCTAACGGATGTGTTATAAAATCGTGAGGCAAACGAGGCCTCCAAAGGGAGTGGACTGCGAGGTCTCACGTTGGTTGGAGAGGGAACGAAACATCCCTTATAAGGGTGTGGAAACCCCTCTTAACAGACGCGTTATAAAATTGTGAAGCTGCAACGATATCAAACAGGCAAAAATAGACAACATCTACTAGTGAAAATGCTATCAAATCTAGCATATTTTAAACTTGTTTTTGGTTGAGTATAGTATTTGTGAACGGGAAGTTCTGCAAGGACCCGAAGCTAGTGAAAGCCGAAGACTTCTTATTCCAAGGACTCAACATTCCTGGAAACACAAATAATAAACAAGGCTCAAACGTGACTCTAATAAACGTCGACCGAATCCCCGGACTAAACACCCTTGGCATCTCTTTAGCTCGTCTCGACTACGCTCCATATGGGTTAAACCCACCTCACATGCACCCGCGAGGCACCGAAATTCTCGTGGTCGTGGAAGGCAGCCTCCTAGTCGGGTTTGTGACGTCAAATCCAGACAACAAGCTCTTCACCAAAGTGCTATACAAAGGAGATGTGTTTGTGTTCCCCATTGGCCTCATTCACTTCCAATTCAACGTAGGACATGGCCCAGCCCTTGCCTTCGCTGGCCTCAGCAGCCAAAACCCAGGCACCATTACCATTGCCAACGCTGTGTTTGGGTCTAAGCCGCCCATCTCGCTTGATGTTCTCACTAAGGCCTTCCAAGTTGACGAGAAAGTCATTGAGGCTCTCCAGATGCAGTTTGCGTAGGGGATATAGTTTCTATTTTGAACCAAATAAAATGGTCATTAAAATAAAAGTTGGTGTATAATGGATTATATATAACGATGATATCTATTCCTTTGCTCGGAGTATTAATTAGATTACGTAACTCATTGGCTATGACTTCCTTTGTCGTTTCGTTTTGATACTATGTGGGTATGAATTTGTATCTTAGATAATGAAGTTTGAGTTACTTTGATCAATGACTTTTTATAGTCCATTCATACGAAGGTTGACTTAGGGTTCTCAATTTATAAAAAGATTGAACCATGCATTGGGTTGTGGTGTGCAAGATGTGTCACAATCGCACTCTTAAGATAGCAAGATAGTGGTTGTGTGAACACTTGTTGTAACCCAGCAAACAAGTTATTCGTGAGAAATTTAGAATTCAAGGACAACATTGGCGTATACTCGAACCTCGAGCACGTGAGTGAGAATATACGTTGAAAACAATTTGATAGAAAGTAGTGTTATATGCTAAAAGTGATTAAGCAACAACGACTTTGATAGCATATAACCCAAGAAGAGAGGGAGAGAACTAGTTATATCCCTTGTAGTACAGTTACGGACATTTTAGCCTTGAGGTGTAGACATGATTTTGGTGAATGGTCATACACATCGATATTGACATAATATGAAATAGTAAAAACCTATCTAAGATGAAAGCAGGTAAAAGGGGTTTGAAACAAGCATGCTGCTATGGACAACACATCCTGGACAAACATGACCGGGACATCTAACATGCAGACATAGATAACACTCTTTGAACAAGCATGACTGTGACAAAGTGCACACCCATATATTCGTCCAATCTCACCCCTTTTGGTCCAATAACCTCTTTATCTTCGTCCAATCTCGCCCCGAGTCATGTATACTTCTGATTTAGACTCCAATATTCTTTTACCCTTTTTGGGTTTGATCGTATTATCCAAATTTCCGAGCGAAAATTACTTCTACATTATCTAAAATTTAAAAATTAAATGAAAACATGTCACCTAATGTTTAACTTTTCCAATATATTAAAAAATAATCTCAAATATGTGAAATTTTATTGTATTAATTTTGTAAAAATCAATTCACATACCCCACCCGCTTCAGCTTTGGTTTGTCCTCAAACTACATCTTTCTAAGAGATGTATCGTTTTGATACCATTTGTAATGACCTATGTACAGGACTCAGGATTAAGATTTGGAATCTGGACTCGACACTTAATGACCCCAATATTCCCTGCATCCATTGCGACATGGTCATGTATCCATATTCCTCGTTTCTTAAGAATGAACATTATCCCTACATACCAACATGAGTCCTTCCAATATGTTTTGTCCTCACTCACATGCATTTTAGAAAATTTTCAAACACGCTTAACAATAAAGTTCCTATGATTAAGTCACCGAAAAGAAACGTGTACCTTGTTAATATAGATATTAACTTTCAATTCTTTATACTCATCCTATCCTTATGATCGTTCTCATTCAAATATAGTCTTGACTCATTCATGTATCTCTCGTTTACTCAAAAGTCACATATCTCATTTACTATTAGTATTTAAAGTTAGATTATCCAAATATAAACCATTGCAACATAAAATAACAACAAAAACTACAATATTTTTCACCTCAAACAAAATTTTTGTAACATTATTTAAGAAAAAGAATTCAAAAACTAAAGTTAATATTTTGAAACTTGGAGAATCCAATGATCATAATAAAAAAAATCAAGAAACAAAGAACATATATAGAACCATCCTAAACATTAATTGGGTGAAAGAAATCAATTAAACCTAAATTCTTTGACAAAGCAAATCATTGAATGGCATGATATTGATAATTTCAATGCCATGATTAATAATGGCCAGCTTTTAAGTTAAAAGACAATATTAGGAATATGCCTATTAATACTAATTTTAATTCCTCGATATTAACTATAGACTTCTCTAATCTATAAATAACTCTTCCCATCCTCATTTCTTGAAAAAAAAAATGAAAAGTAGTAATAATAATAATAATAAAGTTTCTTAGGTTATATTTGAAGCATGAGAGTTCGGTTCTTTCGTTCTTTAAAGGTTGGTTTATTCATCGTTTTGATTGTCGTTCTTCGGATTTCTCCGCTTAATTCAGTTTTGCAATACTCGCCCGATGATCCATTGAGTAAGAATCTCTTTCTTCTTCTTTTATCTCTTTGTATTTTCCTTTTTGTTTTAATTTTGTAGATTTTTTTTTCTCGAGTGTATGAGTTCTAATGAAGATTACCTTAATGCCCTAAACGAGTTGAATTATTGAGTTGATATGTTTGTTTCATGCTATTTTTAATGATGGATTAACGGTAATATGAAGTAGGCTTGTTTCGTCGTAGGTTATGGCGTTTGCATTGAATAAGGGCTAAAATTTCATTGTACGTTTGAGCCAATATCATAGTTTTATTGTACGTTATGGTGTATGTTTTGAGTAATGGCTAAAATTTCATCGTACGTTTGAGTAAATATTATGGTTTCATCGTACGTTTTGATGACTTCATTGAATAATTACTAAAATTTCATCGTACTTTTGAGAAACATCATGGTTTCATTATACGTTTGAGCAAACATTATAGTTTCATCGGACGTTATGGTGTATGCTTTGAGTAATGACTAAAATCTCATCGTACGTTTGAGTAAACATCATGGTTTCATCGTACGTTATGATGTCTGCATTGAATAATGACTAAAATTTCATCGTACTTTTGAGCAAACATCATGGTTTCATTGTACGTTATCGTGTCTGCATTGAATAATGACTAAAATTTCATCGTACGTTTGAGTAAATATTATGGTTTCATCGTACGTTTTGATGACTTCATTGAATAATTACTAAAATTTCATCGTACTTTTGAGAAACATCATGGTTTCATTATACGTTTGAGCAAACATTATAGTTTCATCGGACGTTATGGTGTATGCTTTGAGTAATGACTAAAATCTCATCGTACGTTTGAGTAAACATCATGGTTTCATCGTACGTTATGATGTCTGCATTGAATAATGACTAAAATTTCATCGTACTTTTGAGCAAACATCATGGTTTCATTGTACGTTATCGTGTCTGCATTGAATAATGACTAAAATTTCATCGTACTTTTGAGCAAACATCATGGTTTCATTGTACGTTATCGTGTCTGCATTGAATAATGACTAAAATTTCATCGTACGTTTGAGTAAATATTATGGTTTCATCGTACGTTTTGATGACTTCATTGAATAATTACTAAAATTTCATCGTACTTTTGAGAAACATCATGGTTTCATTATACGTTTGAGCAAACATCATAGTTTCATCGTACGTTATGGTGTATGCTTTGAGTAATGACTAAAATCTCATCGTACGTTTGAGTAAACATCATGGTTTCATCGTACGTTATGATGTCTGCATTGAATAATGACTAAAATTTCATCGTACTTTTGAGCAAACATCATGGTTTCATTGTACGTTATCGTGTCTGCATTGAATAATGACTAAAATTTCATCGTACGTTTGAGCAAACATCACAACTTCATCATTCGTTATGATGTTTTCATTGAATAATGGCTAAAATTTCATCGTATGTTCGAGAAAACATCATGCTTTCATCGTACATTATGGCGTTTGCCAATAATGGCAAATTTCGTCTTACGTTTGAGCAAATATCATGGTTTCATCGTACGTTATGATGTTATGATGTCTGTATTGAATGTTGACATTTCCCTAGGCAATTGCATCTTGGACTTCAACACATTCCCCTACGAGCCGACAGGCGTATGTATAAGCGAGGACGACGACAGACTATATCTCTGGGACGCGATCTACACAACCCGGTGCTGCCGCAACGCCCTCATCACAGCGGCCAAGGCCTTAGCTCTCAACATCAATGCCACAGCAACACCAACAACCCTGTTCCTCCCACAGCCGCAGTGGGCCAACTGCACAGGCCCCTTCTCACGCCAGCCCTCCGTCTCCCTCCAAGGCTGCGGGCTGCAGAGCATGTTCGCCGGCGGCAGCCACTTCTCCACGCTCCTCTACCTGCCAACGCTCCTCCAGAGCAAGGTGTACGAGGCGGGCGTTCGGAACTGCTCAGGGTTCGACGGCGGAGGGTTCGATGGTGTGTGCAGTGGGTGTGTGACAGCTGTGGCGGCGGTGCGTGGGGCGGTGATGGATGAGTTTGGGATTCGGAGGGAGGATAAGAATGAGAATGCTGCTGTTGGGTTTTCCGCCGTTGTGGCGGTTGCCGCCGGGAGGATTGGGAATTCGACTGATTTTGATGCCATTTTTCAATGCTTGTCTGCTTCCGACACATTGAGTAAGTTATTTATTATGTTTTTCTTAAATTTCCTTAAAATTTTTAAAAGTTTTAAAAATTGCCTTAGAAATTGTCTAAGCCAACTACTACGAGAAATTGTCTGTTTTGGCTGGAGAGAGGTTTTTACATCCCTCCAGAGAATGTTTTGTTTTTTTCTCTATAACCTATGTGGAATCTCAAAATCCACTCAGTTAGGAGTCAGCATCCTAGCTGTCACACCGCTAGTTGTCTAGATACCATTTTTGTAATAAATTTTGAATGAAAACTATTAGTACTTTGTTTAAAAAATAACGGTGAACATTAATTTTTTTTTAAAAATATCCTTACTATTAGTACAATATCTAAAAACTACCCATAAAATTTTAAAATTATTACGAGCACCCTTAAATTTTATTAAAAAAATTAAAGTTATTATCGAGGATAATAACTTTACTTTTGAAAATTACTAAATATTTTTAAATTTACTAAATATTTTTAAACTTTTTAAAAGGTGGAAGGATATTAATGACACTTTTACACAGTATTTTTAAAAAATTAAAAAATATTTGAAATCCAAAATTAAAAAGTACTTTTGAAGAAATTTTTAATGTTTTTTTTTTTTTTTTGTCTATTTTTTAAAATATAAGGATATTTGTGTGTTTTTTTTTTTTTTTTTTTTTTTTTTTTTTTTTTTTTTTTTTTTTTTTTTTTTTTTTTTTTTTTTTTTTTTTTTTTTTTTTTTTTTTTTTTTTTTTT